TGCCTGAAAGAATGAATTAATGGTTACTTTAGAAACTTCAGGGAAATCAAGGCATGCCACCAGCCTGCTGGGAGCTCTGCCCGAGCACAGCAGGATTACAACGAAGCTGATACACCCACAGACAGGCCATCATACAGGGAACTCGGTCCAGGTCTGAGAAAGTGGGGGGAGGTGGGGGCAAGGCAATTTATTTCCGTGCGCCTTGTGCTTCCACTCACCCTTGCTGCCCTGTAACTGCCCAACACAGCAAATGTTGGCTCTGGGGTCTCAAGACTAGGTATTCATCTTGGGACCCCAGGACTCAGCCACGGGTCTGGACCATGGCAGGTGCCAAATCAGGCTCCATGGAACCCACACACACAGGGCAGTGGCATCTTCTAAATATGTTACCTACAAAATTGTTCTAGAGGGATGGGAAAAGTGCATGCCATTCCATGTGGCCAGCTTTCCAGACAAAACCGCGCTCCGTGTGGAGATGTTCTCATGTGATACTCTGTCTCCACAGTCGGACAAGAAGCTGCAGGAAGAGCCTTCTCTGAAGGCGATGGTAAATACCGAGAGTCACATGCTAATTCTTTAGGGCTAACATTCTTAGAACATTTTCAGCAAGATATTTATGTTCTCTTCATCCCCCAGATACTCCTCTCCTCAAAGGCTCTTTGTGCCCACAGAGAGTGCAGTACAGGTCAGCCCCCGCCGGGCTTCTCCAGGGAGATCTGAGCTCTAACCGCACATATGGCTGACAGCTGAGCAGAACCCCCGCCTCGGGGATGAGGCAGACTCAGGACCCAGTTCCTGAAATTAGCAGTTTGCCCTCCCAGCCTGGCCACCAAGGAGGCCTCGGAGACTCGCGCTGCAGCAGGCCTGCTGGCGACAAACCCACCACTGTGTGCCCAGAGCCCACTGAAGGCAGAGGAGGCCAGGCTCTCCTAGGAAGCCCTGGTGACACCTGAAAAGCCCCACAAACTGCAGCCTAGGCTCTCTCTGTACCCCAGGCCCCAGGGCCTATGAGAAGACCCAGACTCAGGGCCTAGAAGCCGAGGATACAGTAGGAGGGCCCTCAGGCTCCTAGAGTGAGCCAGAAGACTTGCCAGAAGTAACTGACCTGCCTGCCCTACCCCACGCTGGGAAGCCTGTGAGGAGGACACGCCAGGCTCCAACTTGAAGAAGTCACCCACTTGGGGAGCAGCCTCCCCTCGGTCCCAATCTACCCAATCCCACATGACTTTTGGCCTCCAAAACAGCCCTGGGCTCCAAAGAATTCAAGGTCTTCAGCCCTCTGCAAGGCCGTGCTCATTCTGGCTTCCAGACTTTGCTCCAACTCAGAATGCCATCCCATCTCAAAGTCCAGCCCCATCTACCTCACACGCCTTCTCTGGTGATGTCAGGCAGCAGGTCCTTCTCCTCTGAACGCCATGACACTCGGAGGCAGACTGTGGCTTGGCCCCACACTGACCACTCCCCCTTCATGGGGGCCATCGTCTTCTCTCCTCCAGGAGCCTTCACTGCGGGAAACAGAGCCCACTTCTCTTTTCTAAATGGCTTACTCTAAGTGTTGGGTAATACAGAAAGTGTCCCCTCCAAATACCTCCAAATACTTCCATTTGATATTAGTCCCTGTGGGTAATCTCTCCTCCCAGGACTTGCTCACCCATTCATCTAGCAAACACATCCTGCTCATCTTCCAATGCACTTGTCTGCCCCACCCCCAGCGGGAGCCCCACTTCCTGCCGTGCCCCCCCAGCAAATCTTACAGCACTCTACACAATGATCTGTCTGGTGTCAGTCTCCTCCCATGAGAGCTTACCTCCAAATGTCACAGCCAAAGGCTCCTGGAGGACAGGGTCATGTCCCTTCTGTGCAGGCACACAGCCAGCATGCAAAAGATGACCCACTCCAGGAAGTACCTTTCAGTGGAAAGGAGTAAAACTAAGCCCAAGGACTTTTCCACCTCAAGACCACAAGGCTTTCTGCAGATCTGTACAGGTCTGTGGGTCACATCAGTAAGAAGACACCTGCCATGGGAAAGGGGGACCCTGCTGACAGCATGGAGAGATGCGCGGATGGCAGCGTGTACCCAAGTCACTCACAGCCGAATGGGGTGGGTTCCCCCTGAGGAATCGCTCCTCCGTTCAATGAGCAGCCATCAGGGAGGAGGAGGATAACAGCACTGCTGATTTCTACAAGCTGAAGAGTAATTTCAGAGGGAGCATCACAAGATGAGCGGAGCCTGACTAGAAAATAAACCATTGGCCTTAGCATTCCTCGGGCAAAAGGAGATGTTCTTGTCCACTGACATTATCGCAGCTAAGGATTTAACAGGGAGCCTGAGAGCTTAAATCAGCGACAGGATTTGTTAAAGCCACTTGATTTAATACATGCTGGCAACTTTTTTTTTTTTTTTTTTTTTAAGAAGCAGCTGAAGATTTCTGTAATAGCACTATACTTAGCTACCTAATTTCTGCAGAGCAGTTTCTGCCCTCAACTGGGTAATTCAAATGATGCTGCCGAATGCACGCTGCAGGCAGATGATGTGCTGGGCGCGTGCTGGTGACCCCCAGCTCCCATGTCAGAGGGACAGAGCTATCCTGATGCCCTACACCACTTCACACGTGTTCATTCCTGAAATCCTCACAATACCACGATACAGGTATCATTTTTACCCCCACTTTACAGATTGGGAAATTGAGGCAAAGAAAAATCAGTAACTTGCCCAAAGTGCCCCCCCCGCCCCCAGGCAGGGAGTCAAGCCCAGGCCACCTGGCTCCAAAAGATGCACCTGAACCCGTCCGGTTGCCCCCCCTGGCCTATCGCTCACAAGGCCCGCTGTGTGTGCAGCCGCCGCAACGCCACCTAGCTCGCGGCGGGTACCGATGAGTCCCGGGTGGTAATGTCACTGCAGCTACAAACAGGAAGTTCCCCACAACTTTAAAGGATTTCAGCCAGTTTTGGTTCAGTGGTGAAACTAGCAAGGACCTGCTTTTCCAAAGGCCAGCCTCCCAGGAGCCCCCAGGAAGCCCGCCAGCGCTGGCTCCCCGAGTGCTTCCGCAGTGCTGGCGAGACCACAGCCTCCTGCGGGCAAGCGAGACGTGTCTGCCCGCGAACTGGACCTGCACACGGAGGCTGAGCGGTGGTCCTGAGTTTCAGCACTGTCCCAGAGGCACCTCCAAGCTGTATCTTGTACCTGCCGGCTCTAACACAGCTCCGGGTATTTCACCCTCACCCCCGCCAACGCCCCCCAACACCCTGGCGCCGTGAGAATGTGCCTGCCAACGCCAGGGAGCCCCTGCTGCGGTGGCTGGAAGCCAGCCCTGACCCTATCGCCGCCCTGTCCCTTTTGTTGCCTCCTGTGGGATGTTTCCCGGGGCAGATGCACCTCTCTGGCTACTGAAGTTTGAGCTCCGGCCTGGATACCCACCAGGAAGGCCGCTACCAGCCGAGCGGTAAGGACTCGGGTTGTCACATGTCCCACCGGAGCCTCAAAGGACCTAGCACATAGTAGCTGCTCATGAAACATACCCTTTTAATAAAATGCAGTATTCAGCTAAAAGTCGATAATGACCTTCTGCCCAACTTTAAGAAAAGTGTTAACAGAATTTTTTTTTTTTTTTTAAGATTTTTATTTATTTGAGGGGTGCCTGGGTGGCTCAGTTGGTTAAGCGACTGCCTTTGGCTCAGGTCATGATCCCAGGGTCCTGGGATCGAGCCCCGCATCTGGCTCCCTCCTCGGCGGGAAGCCTGCTTCTCCCTCTCTGACTCCCCCTGCTGGTGTTCTCTCTCTCTTTCCTCTCTGTCAATTAAATAAATAAATGAAATCTTTTAAAAAAATATTTTTATTTATTTAAGAGAACGAAAGAGGGAGAGAGAGAATCTCTCCCACACTGAGCACAGAGCCCTACACAGGGCTCCATCTCAGGACCCCAAGATCATGACCTGAGCCAAGAGTCGGACGCCTAACCAAACTGAGCCACCCAGGCCCCTGAAAAGTGTTAACAGAATTTTGAGTTCCTTGCCCATCTTTTTTAAAACTGGGCACCTGTGATCACTGTCTCTATTAGACAATAGTATCACATGGTATTTGCTCTCAGACAAAATTATACACCTAATCAATCAAAGTCTATAAAACTAATGTGTGCTAGTCCCCAGCAAACCCTGAGAATCCTCCCCATCTCGTGCACCGCTCGAGCATCTGGGGTCAGGAAAGCACCCATGCGGGTGCTGATGTGTATATTCTCATTTCATCCTGCAGCTTCCCTCGAAGACCAGTATCACCCCCATCTAGAGATGAAGACCTGAGGCTCAGATCAGTCAAGCAACTTGCCCAAAGTCACACAGCTAGCAAGGGAACAGCTGGGATCAGGACCCAGATCTTTCCAACTGCAAAGCTAGTGCTCCTTCCACTAAGCCCCCAGAGGTTTTTGCCACAAGAACAAAAATGGACTTTCCTTTAAGCAGCAGGCAGGAAAAAGTGGGCTCAGGAAGAGTGACTTCCAGAAAAAACAACCCCCCCCCAGTATCTAATCAGGAAAGGAATTCCTCGAGGGCCAAGACTCACAGGAAGATGCTCCGACAGGCTTGAGGGCAGTTGTTCAGCCCTCTGGCCACCTGCCCGCACTGTCCAGCATGATGTCACATCACCACTGTCCACTTTTCCGCACACAAGTCAGAAGTAACACTGCCTCCCCGGCCAAGCCCAGTAATAAGTGTATGCAGCACCAAGTCACGTCATGGTGACATGAGAAGGAAGATCTGAGATCAGACAGACTGATAAGACCCTGACAAGTACCTCTAGCCTCTTTATCACTCTTTTCTAGCCAGGTAAGTTCACCACCTGCACTGACAGCTTAGCCACATCTGCCGCCATCTGGATCAGACCACAGAGACCTGGCCTGTTTGGGGTCTACTCATCTTCTCCCCCAGTTCCGGCCAAGAGAAGCCAGGCCTGTCAGGCGCCATCAGCCTGGTCTCTGCATTCATGAGGATGCGAGCGTGGGCAGTACCTCCCAGAAGCTATCGCTGGACACTTCTACTCCAACGGCATCATCGTAAGCGACAGACATCTCTTCGGGCAGTGAGGGAAGCAGCAGCGAATGCTTAACGCAGAGGTCAACTTCAGATGCTCAAAATCCACAGACAAACCTATAAAAGAAAAGCACATTGTTGCAGTTTTTAAATTCCTAAGGTAATAAGCAAGCCATCCCCGACCTACAACTTGCATTCCCATCACTGCCTTAGTACAGCGCAGTCTCAAACGTTCCCTTGAGGTGAGAGAAAAGTCAATAATAACATATATATATGCATATGTTACATGCTTGTGAATGTGTGTTTCACATTAACAAGTGAACCTTCTCAACATCTTACTGAAGAGCTCAAAGAGCTTTCTGGAGAACAGTGCATGTTCTTAGACCAACAGACTGATAACCTTACTAAACAATCTTCCTCGTCCCATGGAGAGAAGACAGAGCACATGTGAGGAGAACACGTGAACACGGGCAGAATCCCTGCATCTCTGGGCTCGCCGGGCCCCAGCCTGCCCTACCCACCCGGCAGGACCAGGCCCTACGGTAAGACACGAGAGGAAGTGATCCGCTCTGGACACCTGCCTCCACCCCCAGCTACCCCCATGTTTCACTTGTGTTGGGCATTGTCTTCCCCCCCCCATGACTGATTCACCTCAGCCACCGAAGCCCCAAATTCAGACCAGTTTATTCAGATACTGTGTGAGGGTCAGCTAGAGAGAGTAAAGACAAATAAACAAAAGGGATCATTTCTGGGTCATGAGGCAATGTTCTAAATCCAGGCAAGGGTAAAGGGACGATTAACCTCTTTGTAGAGGGAGGAAGCTGATGGACCCCCTGTGACACTGATGATCACAAATCATTGTGATGCAACGACCCATCCACAGCCACATGACACTCCCTGACTTCTTGGTGAAAAGTCCACCTTCCTTTCCATCACCCTGTGTTCAGATCACACAGCCAGAGATCTGGAACTTCCCTAATTACCATGGTCAGGAGTCCAAAGCCTCAGCTTTGCCCAGGTAGGGTGGGGTGAGCAGAGTGATCCACACTGTTACACCTACAAGGTGCAAGACTTTGTTCTAGGTACTTTTCCATATGGGATCACATTTAATTCTCACAATTCCCTACAAGACAGTCTAGAAGCATGGTAAGGAACAGGAACACAGGCTCCAATCCCAGACCTACTACTCACTAGCTGGGCAACAGTGGGCAAGTTACTTAACCTCTCTGTGCCTCAATGGCCTTATCTATAAAAGAGTGATGAATCTGAAATACACATCACGGAATTATAGTGAGGGTCAAATGAGGCCAGACATGCAGGGGTGGACATGGTAAATTATAATGTAATTGTCATTAGATAGTAATTATTATCACTATCATTCCCTTTATCTCTCTAGTTGAAAAAACTGATGCTCGGGGAGGTTAAGTAACTTGCCCATGGTCATCCAAGTAATGAATGGCAGAGACAACATTTGACAAATTTGTTAAGGTAATGTTCTCTCCATCGTACCAAAAGGTTTTTTAAAAACTATCTGAAGTTTAAATAAATCTGGTGTCTTATAACCTAAGATCTAGCTGCTATTTAAAGGGTTTAATCTGATGGATGTGACAGCTTCTAAAGTTGAACACAGCACTGTATGGCCAATAAATTCAAAGAGCGGATGACAGTACTTCAAAGCCAAGTGCCCCAACGGCACGCACACTATAACCAGGCAATTGTCCGGGCACCATGTGCACACTCTTCCTGCCAGCATGCTGTCTGGACCTCTGCTCCATCATCACAGGGAGGCATGTCATTGTAACTCCTGGATATCACAAAGGCCGACAGGCCGCTCTGGCTGGGCCCTGGTGCCACGTTTCACAGCACCCCTTCTCTAAGCAATCCTATGCTCTTGGCCAGGGCCCTCCTGGGAGCACGCCAGCCCACATTTGCAGTGACAAAAAGTCTTCTACCCAGAGCAGCTGTCTCTGCTCCAGGCTCCTTAGGAAATACCTGGGGTTTGGGCTCAGGTGAGTCTCAAAGTGGCCCAATCGAGCCACTGGCTGGGCTGCCTAGCCAGCTCTGGGAATAGCTGCAGGGAGCAGGTGCAGGGAGGAGCGGGTGCCTGCTCTGGACGGAGAAGCAGCTCGACACCTGAAAAGTTTAGGCAGAGGGATTCATTTTCTGCCGGGATTCAGCCATGGTTTAGACACAAATAGATGGTCCATTCTGCATAAGATTTATTAAGAGCCTACTGAGTGCCAGGAGCCAAGAAGAGGTTGCCCCTGGGCTCAGCACAAAAAGACAAACTCAACTCCTAGGAGAAAGAACCTGAATCGCCAAGTAACAAAACCAAGTGACTCTGGAGCTGCAGAGGGCTTCAGAGGTGAGGCATGCTCCTGGCTGACCAGCAGGAACAAGGGAAGTCCAGCTTTCCTCGCCCAAGTCCCATGGTAGGACATACCCTATGTGGTAACGCTCCCTCAGTCCGGGGCCCTGTACCCACCCCAGCACTGTGCTCAGCAACTGTGACAGTCCCCAAGGTGACAGCTCTACCGGTGCCAAGCTGACCCGGGCCTCAAGACACAGCTTTCAACATTTCACCATGAAGCGTGATGTTTGCTATACAGTATTTTAAAATATCCCTTTTTAGGTTAGAAAGGTTTTTTTTAAGATTTTATTTATTTTATTTATTTGACAGAGAGAGACACAGCGAGAGAGGGAACACAAGCAGGGGGAGCGGGAGAGGGAGAAGCAGGCTTCCCGTGGAGCAGGGAGCCCGATGAGGGGGCTCGATCCCAGGACCCTGGGATCATGACCTGAGCCGAAGGCAGACACTTAACAACTGAGCCATCCAGGCGCCCCATAGGTTAGAAAGTTTCTTTCTACTACAATTCTACTAAGAGCTTTTATCACAAATGGATGTTTACATTAAGATTAGCTTAATTTTTCCTTAAATGTTTGGCAGAATTTGTCAGTGAAGTCACCTGGGCCTGGAGCTTCCTTTAAGCACTTTTAATCACAGATTCTGGTTAAAAGGGAAAAGACCATTCATGTATTTTCTATTTCTTTGTGTGTTGATTTTGTACAGTTGTGGTTTTCCAGGGAATCCAGGTGATTTTTTTTTTCAAATTTATTGGCATAAAATTGTTCATACTATTCTCCTAAGATCATTTTATTTATTTTTTAAGTTTTTTTTTTTTAAGGTTTTATTTATTTATTTGACACGTAGAGAGAGAGAGAGAGAGAGCACAAGCAGGGGAAGCGTCAGGCAGAGGGAGAGCGAGAAGCAGACTCCCTGCCGAGCAAGGAGCCCGATGCGGGGCTCGATCCCAGGACCCCGGAATCATGACATGAGCTGAGGGCAGACGCTTAACTGACTGAGCCACCCAGGTGCCCCTCCTAAGATCATTTTAAAGACTGAGGGATACCCGTAGTCGTGACCCCTTTTCATTCTTGACATTAGGTTTTGGTGCCTTTTGTCTTGATCAGTCTCATCAGAGATTTATCAATTTGTATTTTTATTTTTCAAAGAATGCACTTTTAGTTTGCTTTCTTTCAAGTGCCTATTGAATATTTGTCTTCTTTTTCCTTGATTTTTCCCCTTTATTAATTTCTTTCCTTCTACCACCTTTGGCTTCAAGTTGTTCTTTCTCTAACTCTGGACATGGAAGCATACATAGCTCATTACTTTTCTGCCCTGTCTTCTTTTCTCATAAGTGCATTTAAAGCTATAAATTTCCCTCCAGGTGCAAATTTTAGCTATATTCCACAATCTCATTCATTTTTCATAATAGTCCCATGAGGTAGGTATTCTTACTCCCTTTTCACACATGAGAAACTGAAGGTCAAGTAACTTGTTGAAGGTTTTAAACGGTGATAAACGGTGAGATCATGACTCAAGACCAGGTTCTGTGGTTCTAAAATGCAAGTTCTTCCTATTATAGTACATGACACATAATGAGCAGTTTGTGGGTATTATGAGTAAACTGCTATGAAAATACCAGGAAAGCAAGAACGAGAGTGCTCTCCTCCATAGGGTATGGGACAAGTTAGAAAAGGACTTACAGGCAGATGGGCTCTGCACGGGCGCCCATGAGAAGGGCTTCTTATCCGTAAGCGGGGAGGGTGGTCAAGATGGGTCAAGGAGACCAAGGAAATCCGTGACTGGTGATTTTACAAAAGTAACAGAATCAGCTCCCAGCCTTCAAGGCTCACACAAGAAACGTCTTCCCGAAAAACAGTGAGATTTGTTCTTTTACGACCAGAATTTGGCCCCACGACTCAATGTGGCACAATCATCAGCCACTTTTCCTGGACCCAAATGACCTCCCAAGTCACACCAGCCATACCCAGGCTCAGAGATGGAGGAGACGGGAAGAAAGGAGGCCAGAAATTATTGGCTCAGTGACAATGGTCTTATGTGAATTTAAAATTGGAAAGAGGGGACAACCTGCCATTGTCAGCTGTTCATGGTGAGCCAGATTCATTCTTTCAACAAAGGTCTAAGTTTCAAGAACTGAGCTAGTGCTGGGAATACAAATAGCCCATGAACTAGGCCTCAGTTTCTTTTAAATGAAACTGAAAATAGCTAAACTGGACTAGACTAGTGGGAAAATCTTGAGGAAAGACCCAAATATTAAATTTGTCAAATGCAAACAGAGGAAATATTTGTTGCCTTTTTAGTGCTGTAAATACAGTGAAATTGGGGGGCACCTGGGTGGCTCAGTCGGTTAGGAATCTGCCTTTGGCTCAGGTCATGATCCCAGGGTCCTGGGATGGAACCCCGTGTTGGGCTCCCTGCTCGGCGGGGAGCCTTCTTCTTCCTCTCCTCCCTGCTCGTGCTCTCTCTTGCTATCTCTGTCTCTCTCTCTCCCAAATAAATAAATAAAATCTTAGAAAAAAAAAATAGGGATGCCTGGGTGGCTCAGTTCAGTTAAGCATCTGCCTTCAGCTCAGGTCATGATCCCAGGGTCCTGGGATTGAGCCCCATGTCGGGGCGGTGGGGGGTGGGGTGGGAGGGGTCTCCCTGCTCAGAGAGGGAGGCTGCTTCTCTCTCTGCCTGCTGCTCTCCCTGCTTGTGCCCTCTCTGACAAATAAATAAAATCTTTTAAAAAAATAAAGTGAATAAAATCTTT